AGATAAAAAAAGCATATATAACGTCGAATTGAGAACCATCCTCCTTTTTGAAAGTCGGTTATGTGGTTAATGAATTAATAAGTGCCATTTTTTTTCTAATTGTTTGATTAGTAAACAAAAGTTTGAACCGAAATCTACTAGTGTTGATTGAACATTTTCACCCAAATTTTTAGAGACCTGCTAGCCCCAAATTACCCGCAAGTATCACAGGGTTAGGGAAGCCCTCCTCATTTTTTTATATGATAGGACCCTAAACGTGTATAATGTTTACCTGATGGTAAGCAATCGGCACCATTCATGGACATCCGCAACATCAGAGGAATTTCCGAATTTTGTGGTTTTCGAAGATTCAGGGTTTGGGGGAGGGGAAGGATTTGGAGATTTTTCATTACAGTAAAAAAACTAAACCAGCCTAGTGAGACGATCACGAAAAAGTTGTTCAGAAAAACCTTTAAAGTAGACTTAAAAATAATGTATTATTCAAAGGGTCGGCCATAGTGTAGTCTCATTCGATTACGATAGATGTCGTACCTAGTATGAAAGGTACCTGAAAACGCATGTTATTCTTAGGATAGAAAGGTACAAGCTATTTACGACCCATCCAATTTCTCTAGGTGTGGTAAAATTTGTTTATCAGTTGTTCTCTTTTTGTAAATGTTTTTTCATATGTGTAGGTTCAAGTGTGGGAGAGCCATGCTTCGGCACGAATGGGTCGGCTCGACCGGAGTGATACCAGGGCCTCACAGAAAACCGGCGTGAAGTAACCACAGCGTTGCGTTTCGCCGTGTGAGTGAGGTTACCGGAGGCCCAATCCTTCCTCTCCCCCAATCCCTAAATCTCCAAATCCCTAATCCCTAAAAGGTCGGCAACGCACTCGTAACTTCTCCGTTGCGGGTGTCCATGGGCGGCGCTGATTGCTTACCATCAGATAATTCGTCTGCTCGTTTGCCGATCTTTAACATAAAAAAAAGGTATTTTAAAGTTTTCAAATTCAGCTTCGGATTAATTTAGTCAGTAGGAGTCTGACACTGCCTCTGGCCCCTCCAAATCGAGAGAAGTAATTTGATGATTTTATCCCTGAAAAAAGTAAAATTTTAAAACCTGAATAGGTAGAGTTTATTTATTGAACTGATTTAATGAATTTGTGTGATATGTTACTTAGGTAGGGAAAAAATATGTTTTCTTAGGAAAAACGATCAATTAATTTTATATCAATTCTCAAAAATTTTAATAATAAAATATAGGTAGATTGTGTTTTCCTTAAAGGCGAAAATGGCAAACACTTTCCGTCCTCAAATGTTCTAAGAATCGTGTAGCGAGGAACTGTAGGAATTATTGATTTGAACTTTAATATCTTCACGCTCGGTTACCTTTATGAGCCGTGCATAACTACGGCGTATATGCTTGAATCGAGCGGGTACTATTCCATTTAGTCGCTATGAATAACGGTTTGTGATGCAATCATATTTAATAAACTTTACGTTGCTTCTACTGAGTTATACCTATAGGAATATAACGTCAATTTAGGTAAGTTAGTAACCTAGAACTTATATACAATGAACCTGGAACAACTATTTGTAGACCATCCAGAGTACTTATTGCTTTGAATAGGAATTGCACAGTATACGATAAAAAAATCGAAGTTTAATGTTATGAGTTCTCTGTAATTGGGGTTAGATAATGTAGTTATAGACGGGACACGGGACGTAATTTCATGTTTTTTACACTTACTGAGAGAAAACCTATCTAAATACTAAAAGAACATTAATGAAACTTGTTTTAACAATTAGGTACTTTTCTTAGTCAACAATAAATAGTTACGACTTATTAATACAGTCCACGTTTTTATTAACTGCTTTAAAGATAAGCTATAAGTGTTTATTGATCACAATGGGTTAGTACATGTAACGATAGTTTTAAGGTTTGTGGTAAAATAAATAAGCAAATAAAATATACAATAATCTCTTTTTATGAAGTAAGTATGATATTTGACGCTAAAAACATGACATCACACACACACACTTGTAAAAAAATAATGCAATAGAAAAACTGTCAATTTTTAAAATTTGATTATTTGTCAGGTTCCAATTTTTATGTTCGAATAGTGTTACTGTGGCGTGGCGTGTCGCGACAGATAGCCCCGATTTCATGTATTTGACAGCGCCCGACATGACACGATATGCCGTGCAAGTTTGTTTCGAACGATAGGTACATGTATAAAACTGAATGAAACACCATGCCACATGACAGTAATATGTTTCTAGAACAGGAGAAGGCACGGGGATGTTTTTAGTCTGTAAGAGTCTGATAATACCTCGATGATTTTCTCCTTACAATAAAAGGAGTAATATGCTTCTTGTTCTACCCGTCTCACATCACATCATCAGTTATATGTGTCTACTGCTGAGGAAAGGACTGTTTGAGCATTAATCACCACGCTTGCTCAAGGCAGATTGGCGATTACAAACTTATATATAGATTTTATGAGGCCAGGTCACGAGGTTTTCTTAACCGTATGTCTAAACAATCATAGGAAGTACATATAACTCGGAAAAAAATATTATTAGAAATTATTTTACCTTTAAATTTCTAACAAACGCATTTTTGACATGTTATGTAAATACGTTACTAGTTTACTAAGTAAATATTGCTGTACATATGGAATATACTGGTTTATGTGTGAATAATTTATATTGTTGAATACTTTTCAGTAAGAGTAATTTCCTCTAGCCTCACGCTGAAAGAAGTTGGTGCTTCTTACTCTTAAAAAAAAATGTAAAAGTTTTGTTTAAATATCGAATATAATTTTTTAGAAGTATATAACAATTTATATATGGAAACGAAAATATGTATTTAGGTATAGTAACTTTATTGCAATATTTAAAAAAGTTGCCTACATGTTATTTATAACTAATTTTATCTTTATGCCAATCCGTTCATTAGTTTTTATGCGAATGAGTTACAAACATCCATACACGTCCATCCATACATCCATTCATACTATATATAAACTTTCGCGTTTATATTAGTAAGATTTACATACACGTGATGGTTTAGAAATTAAAACTAAAAACTGGTTTTAAAATTAAAAACTCGTTATGTTGGGATTTATCCTATTCCATATGAATCTACATATTGTAACTGTAATTCTTGACTAGACAAGATTTCTATAACATGAAAGGAGAAGCAATTTATCTATGGTAAGAAATTAATGTTTTTTCAGAACTTTTTTCCAATCTGAGTGATCTAATATTGACTTGGCGCTGGGCAACCGGCTGCTAAGCAACGAATCGCGGGTTCGATGCCCCCACGAAGCAACTCTTTGTTTGATCCCAAAATTGTTGTACCATGTCTGACCGTTCGGCCCCATGGAAAAAGAGGAAATTGTAGTGCAAAAAATATTAAGTACGATTTTACCTGTAACTGATTCAATTATTTCGGAAATTATCATTATCATCAAACTATAAGTGCTCACTGCCGAGAAAAAGCCTCTTTTCACAGGGAGAAGGTTTGATCCTTCATCATTACGCTTGTTCAAGGCAGATAGGCGATTTCAAACTTATAATTAGAAATTATAATTCCAGGTTTCCTCACGATGTTTTCCTGTCCGTATGTCAGTGGTGTTTAAATAGTCATAGAAAGCACATGTAACACGGAGTCACACTGGTACTTGGCAGGTTCCGAACTCGCACCCTTAGGCAGGAGAAGGAACGGGGGGTTTTTAGACAGTAAGAGTCTGACACTCTCTCTCACCTTACCCTGGGCCGGAGAAGTCACTTGATGATTTTCCCTTAATAAAAAAAAGGCATGAGAAGTGAGAAGCTAGACCTTCAGGCCACCACAACGTTTTACCTATAGACCTTCGGGACTTTCGGGAAATAAATATACATAATTGTTTATAGAGTTTTACAGGAAGGTATGTTTTTAATAAAGTAGGTACCTACCGGGACAAACAGGAAGGTATAATTTTAATAAACTACAGTCTAGGTTTCAGCCACTTTATATGCTATTCACTAAAATTTAATTCTAGATTTTAGATTATACTCAAATCTAATGAGGAGGAAACAGACAAAGGCTTTACTGTCTTTTCAGTTTACACCGACTGTAAACAGTGATTTCAAAGGTATAGTTAGCGAACTGACAGGAAATTGTTTAACATTATATATTTTATGTGGGTAAGGTACATAAATACATTCTGAGTACAGAACAATGCGAAGGTTGACCAATCAATTATTGGATATTATACATATATGTATATATTTTGGTATGTTTTTTGTAACGTATCCTAAAGTGATTGTGTGTACTATTTTATAAGGGATAGGTCGGCAAATGAGCACACGGATAACCTGATGGTAAGCAGTCGGCGCCGCCCATGTACACTTGTAACACCAAAGGAGTTACTTACAAAAGATTAATTTATCCAATTGGCCAAGGTATCCTAAGTTCTTGTTTCTAAAAGTAGAGTTTTTTTACACAAAAACCTTCATAAGTTGAGATTATAAATATGGTATCAACAAATTAAAAAAAAATACGAAAAGATAATTTGTTCTACTGAAAACATGTAACGATTCATTTTTCATTTATATAAATTGTCATATAAGTCATCTTTTATTATTATTGTACCTAAAATCTATAATAAATCTCTTTGAACTTTTAAAATTTTCCAAAGAAAAACTTTCTGAGTCGCAGTTTGATTCAAGTTGTGATTAAAAGCTAATTTTAGATTAAGTGTACCGTTACACAAAACATGATGATTATGAGCTACAAAATGATATATTTTTCAATACCATTCGAGAATTTAACTCGAAAAAAAATCTTTATTTGTATATTTTAATTTAATACATCAAATGGAATAATATTAAGATGATATTAAGTTGATAAGGAAGTGGATAAGACGTCCAGGGGAGCTGGTGATAGATTCAGTGCTGACATTGACCTTACCAGCGTGAGGTGAGGGCACAGGCGGCTGCGACGCGCGGATGTTTTCAGTCGCGATTTGTCCGCGCCGCAACTTGTCGTTCGGGCGACGTGCAAGCGCTAAGCGCTGTTTCCGCGTCTTATTGAACAAGTGCGTGATTTATACGATAAATAAAAGTGCTATTGTGGAACACTTCAAAAACAATTTTACCAACATAATTTGGATTATTGATTATAATTACTTCACGTGGATGCTACGAAATATCAAAGTATGTATTTTTGTATTATTTATGGATTGAAAATAGTTGCAACATTTCTGTTTTAAAATAATATTTGAAAGTTATGCACAGTATTAATGATAAAACGCAGAAAAAAAATTAATTGTAACAAAGTATTGTTTGATTTTTTACTGATAGGTAATTCTAAAGTATTTTATCGCAACTACTAATTCGTCAAGCTAATTAAACAGAACAACAAAGTTAGTCGTGCTTGCTAGTTTTTCGTCTATTATTCACCCATTCGGTATATTCCATGTTTTTTAATCACACATAACGGATTTTACAAGGTTAGTTCGCAAATCTGAAGTGTACAGAAACATATACATTTTATTTTATTTCGTGTTAAATTGGATTTCGGTTGGACGATTTAATTTTTTACTTTGTTATACTTATTTCAATAAATTAACGCGTAGACTGTATGTGCAAAATAATAGAATTCAAAGACATTTCGGTCAATAAATGTCATACATATTAATTAATCAAGTGCCAAATAAATATGCAATGAAAATTGACTTGTTGTGTATTGAAATTTTCACAAACTACACGAACGTTTTTGCATATAAAGCTTTAAAATATTCGTCATTTTCAGAAGTTTAAATATATTGATTTTTTTAAGTACCATAAAGGTAACTGTATTTTTTTTTTATTTTAAAACTTTTGAGCGCAATAAATGTAAAATGGCGGATTTTATGGCGAAGGCATTTTCTTGCATTCATCCTTAGGGTGATATAGAGCCAGGTCGTATTAGTTACGACAGTTTAAATAAATTATTTATAAAATATTTACTTTGTTGATCTGTTAGGTGTAATGAAAAAGTTTTGGTTTCTTTCGTGTGAAGACATTTTGTTTTGATTTGTTTTCATTGATTTACAATCTTAATAACGAAATACAATTAAATGTTGAAAGTTTGTTGATTGTTCGCTTTATTTTGTTTAATTATTTTTAGCCGTGTATTGTTGAGAAGTTCAGCTTTGGGAATTGAGAAATTAATATTATTATAAATGTTTCTTCTGATTTTGAGTTGGTCACTACTGTTTGTTTCTTTTTCGACAAACTTACTGATTGCAATCTGCGAATGGATATAAACAAAAAAATGAAGCAAACCTGTCTCCTCATATAAAATAATTGCTTGAGGTAGTGGTCACTCCGGTCGCCACATGCAAGTTATATTGCGACCTTGCCTTTTGAGTGGATACCTATATTTGATTTTAATAAAAGGAATACAACAAACTATGTTAATTTATAATAAATTTTATAAATATGTAACGTAATTCATATACCTATATTTTCTTAATTAATTCAACGAATTCGATGACATCAACCTTGATTTCTTACTTGAAAATACGCAAATTATAATGAAATAAATTAATCAAACTGACGAATTGTTTTCAAATACTTAGATAAACAATACAAATTAATTAAAATCAAAGACCAAGGATTACACTGTGTAATTTTGGGAGCTTCGATATTTGTCAGAGCAAATAAACAAATAATTTTTGTTGGAATTTAAATAATTTATGTATCAAAAATGAACACAGGTAGTTCCGAGAAGTTTTATTATATTATTGACCTTATTTGAGGAACCGGCTTTGAGAAATTATTAATATATTCATGGATTTGTTTGAGAAGAACTTTGATGATATTATTTGAATTATCTATTAAATCCTTAATTCTATATTGAAATTACGAAAATGAAGATCTTTTTTGGATTGTGAGCCCCGGGGTAGAGGCGTAAGCAGATGCGTCCCGAGACGTAAACTTTCGAGTTAGTGATTTTGTTAACAATTGACAGTAAAATTGTTTCATACTTAACAAAAGGGACGGAAGTTTCTTAAATTAAATCGCACAGTCTTAACATAAAAGTCTAACGGACGTCAAAAGAAAGGAAATAGGTTTTCGTTGAGTTTTATTTTGTTAATTTTATTTATAGGTTATATTTTTGGATGTGACCAGAAAAGATATTTATTGTATTATCTAAATATTTTACACCTGGAAGTATTTGTAATTTTGTCTTTATTTTCACATTGATTGCATTGTTTATATTGAATTAAAGAGTTACTTTGTCTTTGTAAGTTTAAACATAAGAAAACAATGACATCATTTGTTTTTGTTCTTATTAACGTTTTTTTTTTGTGGCTCGTATTATACAAAATTTATTGGTAAAGTTCCCTAAATCGATTACCGAACGTCAGCTGCATGTAACTTCTGTTACGAAATATGAATTATTTTTAATCCATACTGCTGGGTACTTTAAAATTGGAGACGATTGCTATTAGCATATTTACGTATACTTATCTGCAATGTGTATGTACATATGCATATTAATCACATGTTAAATTCTTGAAAGCTATTTTTTATGATGAGGCGCATATACTAATATATCGGAAATTAAAAGACGTTTTGCCAACAAAATAAACCAATATATAATAATAAACCACTTGGAAAAGTACATTTTCTACTACATAATTTTTGTCAAATATTTTTTTCATCGTATTTGAACTACGCTTAACTCACAAAGCAATCGCCGCTTACTCTCTTTATTAAAGGAGGTTTTTAATAACTTTTTCATTAGTTGTCAAAAAGTTAAAAAGACTTCGTTTGTTTTTTTTTTAAGTCTGCTTGTACTATCAGTGAAACTGGATTGAAACGTTAATGTACAAAATGTGACATGGGAGAAAAAGCAACCGTGGCGAAAAGTTTATATTTAATGTACAAACAAAGTTTTTGTCCTGATATTAGTGCGTACTGTAGGTACCTACGTGTACACAAGTTTTACTAGAATCCATTTTACGTTAAAAAAAGAGACCAAAACATTAATCTCACTTTTTGTTGAATGAAAACCTTTTTTAAAGTCCACAGGGGTTGAGATCGAGGAACCCTGGCTTAGTTTAAACCCTAGATGTGGCTACAAATAACAGCGACACATGTGCGTAATCCGCTCAATATATTTTCAGTCACAATTGCCGTATTGCCGTATAAATTACCTTTCGTAAGCCGACAAACGTTCACTTGGAAAATGGTTCACGTATCAAAGTACACGTGTCCCACAATCTTGCATATTACCGAGTCGTCCTTTATAATTTTCTCGCACGCGCCATCTTATGGGGTATTTTTATATCTATCTAATAGCAATTTCTTCCTACTTCACTGATTAGGAATACGTTTTTTTTTGTTCGGCAGTGGTTGATGGGATTTTGATGTGAATTAATTTATCTGATTGTGAATTTTCAAATTGTCGATGACTCGGCTCAGCTTCGCTAGGATGCAATTGATTTTTGATTGATTTTTTTTAAAAACGTTGCCTTACACTGGGATTTTCTCCTGTGTCGTGGTACGGTTACAAACATACAATTTCATATGCACATGACACCCAGACCCGTAACAACAATTTGTGGATCACACAAAGAGTTGTTCCGTGCGGGAATTGAAACCGCGACACGTTGCACGGCAGCCAGTTGCCCAGCCACCGCACCAACCGTGCAGTCAAATGCAATGCTGATACTAAATTTCTGGACTACTTAATTACATGTACAGTCAGGGGTCAAAAATGCAATTACACTCTACCAATTTTAAATTGACCAAAATATCTTTGTAGAATAGAGTCAATGGTTGAGGACTGCTTTAATTTATAGCATAGAATCTAAATTATTGAATAAACTGGATGTGAACCATTAAACTTTTACTACAAAGACATTTTAGTCATTTTAAAATTGGTAGAGTGTAATTGCATTTTTGACCCCTGACTGTACATATATGCAAATCTTTCTCTTCAATCACTTTATCAAAGATTTAAGCATATATAGGGATATAGGGACAGGGAATCCAATTTTATTTTGTACTTAATAGTGATAAGTTCTGATAATTTTGCTTCTTGAGTATTTGTTTTTAATTACATTCAAAAACAAACAATGTAACGCCTGCTATAATGTGCGTTTTCTTACATGACATACATATACATATATATGTACGCGTTTACACCTTTTTCCGGATAAACAAGTTGTGATTTTGTTTATGTTTGTTACGATTACGTTGAAGTGTTTCTTTTAAACATATTATTTGCGTATTAAGATTGTTTGGTTAAATTCTGTATTATTGTAGGGCGATGGCTTTTGGTCTGATTTCTTTTATCTTAGGAAGCCGCCCACCATAGCTGCTTTCACAATTACAACAAAACTTGCGGATAAACATTATGTTATTATTAACGATAGTGTGTTTTGGTAATTTCTAAAGTAAGTTTCGTGTGTTGAGCTTCAGTAATTGGAACAAACTAATTAACAAGGAGTATCAATTAAAACGATTCTATTAATTTAGGTACATCAAACCTTTCAAGTAACAAATCATGTGCTCGAATAATGTTAATTTATTAACGGTTTAGTGTTTTGGACGTAAACAATTATTATTTACGTTAAAAGAAAAGAAATGTAGGCAATTAGGTTCGTAGGTACTTGTTGCTGACAACAAAAGGGAAATCGGAACGGTAGTAGTATTTTCTGTGAAGTGTATTCAGGGGCGTATGATTGAATTAAGGTTCGTAGTAAGTGAATTTTTAACTTATTAGTTAAACTTTTCATTAGATAATTGAAACGTTTGTCCTGAAGTGAAGCTTGTAAAGATGGCGGCTGATGTGCGTTGTTTTTTTCTGTACTACCTTACTTCCATGCGAGAAAGAACCCTTTTATTTATTTTTGCATATCAAAATACTTTTTTTTTCCTGGGTGGGGAGAGAGGGAGTGTCAGACTCTACTACTGACTAAAAGCCACCTACTTCTGCCTTCTCTGGTTCCTACTTTTGCTCTTGGCTGGGGACGTGATATATTATGACGCTTGCATGTTTAGTCGGGGTTGCAGCTGAACGACAGGGGTATTTGGCTCCATCAGTAAACCCGAGATGGGTTAGAGACTGTTTATCAGTAAGAGTCCGACATTAATTATAAGTCTTCCTCGGGTGAGGGGCTGCCAGGTATATTTGTGGATAAAAACCGAGAGAGTTC